CTGTGGTATATTTATACAATGGAATACTATTTAACCATAAAAAGACTAAAATAATGCCATCTGCAGCAACATGAATGGACACGGAGATCATCATTCTAAGTGAAGGGAGCCAGAAAGAGAAAGAAAAATACCATATGATATCGCTTATATGTGGGATCTAAAAAAAGAAAAAGAAGATACTAATGAACTTATCTACAGAACAGAAACAGACTCACAGACACAGTTAACAAACTTACGATTTTGGGGGGGAGGGCGTGTTAAGGGATAAATTGGGAGTTCAAGATTTGCAAATATTAACTACTATATATAAAATAGATAAACAACAAATTTCTTCTGTATAGCACTGGGAACTATATCCAATATCTTGTAGTAACCTATAATGAAAAGGAATATGAAAATGAGTAAGTGTGTGTATATCTATGGCTGAAACATTATGCTGTACACCAGGAATGACACAACATTGTAAACTGATTATACTTTAATGAAAAAAGAGAGAGAGAGAGAGAGAGATGTGCCAAGGACAGCATCAACAGGACCTGGTGCACTGAGGAAAGTGTGGGCCCATTCGGCGGACTCGCGGGCGCCTGGCTGGGACCACGGGTAGACAGGCATGCCGGAGCCTGAGACGGGGAGCCCCAAGGATAAAGGTGGGGTGAGGAGAGCAGAACTGTGAGCTCAGTTTTGGATTTACGGAGTCTGAGTGCCGGGAGGACACCTGGGTACGGGCAATCAGGTTTCTAGAAATTCCTCGGCTGATCTGCAACTTCGGAGAAATCAGAGCAGGAGACACAGGTGTGTGTGGCATGTGGACGAGGGTGGGGAGGGAGGAGAGCGCAGCCGAGTTGGCATCTGAGGAGCATGGGCCCAGAAGAGCCATGGGGGGCTCTAGGGAGACATCAGGTCGTGGAGGAGGGAGAGAACCCTGGGCGGTGGCCCTTCCGGGGTGGCGACGGTGGGAGCATTGCCCTGGAACAGGCAACAGCAGGCGTTTTCCGCAGAGAATCTAAAACAATGCAAAGTGACCAGAGCCTCTCTGCTTCTTATTACGACCAAGGTCAGCAATTCTAGGCAGCGTCAGTGATGGAACAACCCCCCGAGCGAACCTCTCCCACCATCCCCCGCCCCAGCCTCCCATTAACCACTGCTTTGACGAACATATTTTTGTTTTTAAGTGCTCTCTAAACAACATCCTCTTGGTATATGTAATTTGGAGAGTTTCTTTAAAAGTGCTTCACTTCCTTTTCTGGACTATGAGAAATGCGTCACCCCATCCTTTACTCTTTACCTTGGCTGTCAGAGCACTATGGGAGTTTTTTGTCGTTTTGCTGGTCTGCAAGGACAGTTGTCAGCTACAGAGAAGAACCCTCCAAAGCATTCCTTTTAAAAAGTCACTAAACGGTCGTATTTGCAAGAATTCAACTTTCAGTCTTTTTCCGGAGCTCATATAGTATGTAAAACGAGATCCTTTAAAATTCCCAAGGCACCTTGGGAGCTGAAATAAACCAAAATTAAGAAGTAAAACCGTGTCAACATTCTTTTGTTTACTTTTTTTCTTTTTCTTTCTTTCTTTTCTTTTTTTTTTTTTTTTTTTTGCGGGAGCAGTGGAGAAACTATTGCTACCACAGTATTTTAAGTTATAATCCGAAAGTTTAAAAGTCCGAAACTATGTAGAACATTCTATAAATTAACACCAGAACATGGAGTTTACTCTCTAGAATAGGAGTCTGTGTGGCATTATGCTTCAATACCTATGTCATTACTTCTTCCAGGCACTAGCTCTAAAAAAATCTGTGATTATCTGCCTGGCTAAGAGTCGCAAGAAACTGCTTTTCTCCCTCACAATCTGAACTTGGTTTCGGAGAGCAAACCTGAAATTTCACTGGCACATATTTTGCTCCATTGTATTTTTTCCCCTTTGCTTTTATAAAGAGGATTTGCTTCAAAGGCCATGCAGACAAATGAATTATTCATAGACAGATAAAAGAGAAGGTTTCGGGGACTAAAATATTTAGGCCTCAGGTTCTATGAGTTTGATCACACTGACTAGGTGGGCACCTTGGGAGCTGAAATAAACCAAAATTAAGAAATAAAAACTGTGTCAACATTTCTATTTTTATTTATTTTTTATCTTTGTGGGAGCAGGGGAGAAAGAACCATTTCCAGCAACAATGTCTGTTTAAAGACTAACATTTGATGCTGAACTGATTCAAACAGCATTACCTGGACACACAATGTAACAATGTTTTCTAGCTAGAGGTGGGACTGGCAGGCTGCAGAAACAGAAGCTGCCCGCGGAAAAATGCCATTTTCCATGAGTCTCTGACGCGATAACCAACGTCCTGCTGGGAAGGCGTGTGGAGCGACAGCCTCTCCTTTAAGACGTCTCAGAACAACGAAGCTCTGTTGAAGGTTTCAGCAGCAGGGTCAGCAACCCATCCCTCACCGCGTGTGCACAATCTGTCTTTGGATTTCCAACCGTCCACCTGGAGCAACTGGAATGTCCTGTCCAGTCCAGTGGGGAATGCAAGGCTCTGGTCACGGGGAACAAATCCCAGCCTTCTCGGGTAAATGGCTGTGGGAGTGGGGGTGACATGTGCTTTTCAGAAATTAATTTAGAGCCTGCAGTATCTACTGAGCTCTGTATTTTCTATAAGGAAACTAAAATCATCTTGAGAGGAAGAAGTACAACAGAATTCTCCGCTGTGGGTCTAAGGAAGGACGGAGTGTGTGGTTGCAACTTTTTGATCTCCCTGTGGGGCTCCTGAAACCTTGTGAGGATGACGAGCACCGTCCACTTCATCTGGAACTGG